AGAGGGTCTCAATGGGGTTAACCGTGAGCCGTGAAACGGCTAAAAAATTAGCCGTGAATCGTAAAAATGAGAAAAATTAGCCGTGAAACGGCTGAAAAATTAGCCGTGAGTCGTGGAAATGTGAAAAAAATTAGCCGTGAGGCGTGAAAAAGCCAAATTTTTAGCCGTGAGTCGTGATGCGGACCCCCCCATTGAGACCCTCATACAACCTTGTCGAACAGTATTATTTCGGACTTTTTTCCATACTTCTTGATCTATTACTTGATTGTTACATCGATTTTTCCAAACAAAATCAATTGTCTTGCGTTTAACAGGTTTTCGGAACACTGGCTCCGGTCAGGCAATCGAAAAATCCGTGCTTGTGTTTACCTTGTCGTGCAATATTATTTCTCTTCTATTAATTGAAATACTACTTGTTCCATGGATTTAAAAAAAACAAATGTTTTAGACACTCCTCAAAAAAAAAGAAGAAAAAAAAGAAATAAACAATAAAAATCTTGGCTTTTTCGTTGTGTTGCTATTCTATTGTAATTTCTGTTATTATGTTATTATCATTTATTGTTTTTATGTTTAATTTGCTTATGTAAAATAATATAAGAATGTTTCGCGGACAATTTAATACATTTAATTCCATCGGTATAGAATGGTAATGCAAGCAGATAATACATACTCGAATTGTTTTGGTAGACAACCCGGTCTTTTCGGCGAGAATCTGGCATTCCAATTTTCCGATGTACTTGGACTTTTCAAAGCTAGCCAGCAATAATCGTTTCTGATAGTTTGAAATCAGTTGTCGTGGTTTGGAATTGGTAGACTGAGTGGGTTTAGTTTCCGGTTCTTTATCGGTAACATTTTCTGGAAAAAAAAGAGAGGAAAATCGCTTTTTATGTCTTTCTTTCTAAACATTTACTGGCTTTGTCGTTATGTTGTTATTCTATTGTAATTCCTGTTATTTTGTTTTTGTTGTAATGTTGTAATTATGATGTTGTTATTTTCGTTATGTTATAATTATGGTGTTGTTATTTTCGTTATGGTGTAATTATGATGTTGTTATTGTCGTTATGTTGTAATTATGGTGTTGTTATTTTCGTTATGGTGTAATTATGGTGTTGTTATTGTCGTTATGTTGTTTTTATATTGTTATTATTTTCGTACTGTTGTAATTATGGTGTTGTTATTTTCGTTATGGTGTAATTATGGTGTTGTTATTGTCATTATGTTGTTTTTATATTGTTATTATTTTCGTACTGTTGTAATTATGGTGGTGTTATTTTCGTTATGGTGTAATTATGGTGTTGTTATTGTCTTATCATATAATTATCTATGAAATACCTATATTTCTCCATACGTAAAATACTCCAATTTTGAGTTCTGGTTTGCTCTGTGTTAGCCTCAAAACCAGGTAACATATTCTTTTGTTTAATTGATAGCTCGAGAAAACGCATGGAATTTTGTGGAGAAAGACAATAAAATTGATTTGAAATCTCACATTTTTACGCTCACAATAAGGAATATTTTGCGCACGAAATGAGGCTAACACAGAGCATTGGAGAATTCGAAACTGGAGTATTGATATTTTCACTAGTACACTAGTGAAAATAACACATTCGAGGTTTCTCTATATAGTGGAAGTAAGAAAAAATATATTTTCCAACATAATTTGCTTTCATATTTAATTTAAGAAATATAAAACGGCGCGCGTGTATCTGTCCTCTGATATAAACACGGTGGGAGTTCGAAAAACACGAGAGAAAGCAAGCTTAGGAACACGAGCGTAGCGTCACCCAATCAGAGTGCGCGTTATATATCAAAAATTTTATAATATATGATAAACAGAATATTACATGGTCGCTTTGAGATACGAATTTTATCTTCTCGTGTTTAAAATCGCTACGCTCACTCGTGAGAGATCTTTTCAACACTCGAAAAATAAACTCCGTATCTCCGCGCGCCCATGTAATATCCTCTATTTCAGTGTTGTTCTTATGTTGTTGTGTTGCCGCGTAATATTTTAAGTGTTGTTATTATCATGATCAGGCTAGGTGAATGTTGTTCCTGTTGCTACGCCATTTCTTTTCGTGGTTACGAGAATAATATAGAAGTCCATGATATTTAATTTTTAAAAAGGTCAAATAGAAGGAAAATTCTAAAATTTTAAAGTCATAAATCCAAGACATAGTTACAAATGTGGCGAAGTCGAAATAAGCCTTTTTCCAGTTCAGTGCGAGCGACCGCTGTTTAGCACACAACAGATTCACTCTCGTAAAGAACAAAAGAAAGCACGAAAAAATGTTGACATTACAATAGCTCTAGAAATTTGAATCTTAACCGATTTGAGGCTTAGCCTGAACAAGGGTTTGAATCTTCTGGGAAAACATAATCGGAGAAAATGCAAATTTTGTCAACATTTTTTCGTGCTTTCTTTTGTTTTTGGTAAGGTCTCTGCTCATGAGAGAATGTTTGTCAACTAAAGCAGCGGTTGCTCGCTTTGAACGGGAAAAAGGCGTGGATATTCATTGCTTTCATTTTCAATGACTGGTAGATATCAATATGCGGCTATGGATTGTTTCACGGATTTTCAATACTAGATTTACATTTGAATAAACACAGCGTAGATTGTGCCATGTACTGATAAAGATATCAATTCGGAGATCGTACGGATCTCTGTTCGAGGCAAAAATACTTTAACACGTCCCATATCAAGAAATATAATGTCGCACATGTTAGAGTCATTTTCATCCGTTTGTGAAACAATTACTACTAGTCAGTGTTTAATAGTAACTATTAGGGGGTAGCAGGCTACCAAAAGGCAAAATCAACACCTTGTTTGACTAATAGTTTGTCGCATGTCATAAGTTAAACTATTGGGAGCTAATATATAGGGGATAATAATATCTTATTAACCGAGCGCGAGGGCCGTACGGGAAGTTATGGACCGAGTTTTTTTCCACTGACTGAGCCTGAGAAGGCCTTGATGGCAAAATTTGGATTCATTTTTGACTCTTATTTATACAGTACAACTACAAAAAGAGAGAAAGCGAGCCTTTTTAAGATAAAAAACGTTTTCTCTCGTTTCATCTGGTCCGTACGGGAAAGTATGGCCTGCTTTTTAGCCAATGAAATCGTGTGTTACATCCGAGCTATATAATAATAGTATTTAATAGTACAATTTCTATTTCACAGACGGATGAAAATGACTCTAAGCGGTTTCAACACCAAATATAAACATTAATAGTACCTTTTTTGACTGAATGGCCAATTTCACCATGCTTTTCCCCTTCTGCCATTTCTTTTTGGTGTGAAACTGCTGTTAACATACTGAGAGGAATGAGTTTTTCTCGAGTGTCGATTGATGAAAAACATCGGCATTTATATACACATTGTCAACGCCGCTATTCACCTCATTGGTCAAGTTGGGTCGACGCCCAATCCCTACCCTCATTACGTGAAGGTTGTTAATTTATAACGGATTGTTTTTTATGTCGCTGTTTTTAAAAACAAACAAAAAATAAAAAATAAAATAAGAGAACCCGGTTTGTTAGAACTTACTGTATCAATCAACATCAAGTGATTTTTTGTGAGTAAATGAACCTCTTTTCCAATCAAAAATGAAAAAATGCATTGATGCTACTTTTTTCTTTTAAAAACCAACAGTCCTTTATTTTCAAAAGTTTCAATAGTCTAAATACATAGTTTCTAGCACAAATTTGCTTTAAGTTGAGAAGAGTTGGTTGAGGCGAGAAGACCTTTTTTTGATCACCGCCGTGGTGTCCTAAGATCTGCTCGCCCTGATAAATAAATTAAATAAATCAATAAATCAAATTGGTGGTAGATAATCGCACATCCTTGCAGACCGAGTGCTGAATTACGATGCAGCTCACGTGATCGAGTCAGTTATGCGGTATACGAGGGCGCTATCATTATGAGGACAATCACATATTTACAACACACGCACAAAGCAGCAACCAACTACTCTGCGAACAGAGCTACTTTTCTAACCCGCCAAAAGAAGCGAGAGAAAAATTTCTTGGCGGGTGAGAAAAGTAGCTCTGTTCGCAGAGTACCAACCAACCGACCCATATCTGATCACGGAGCACAGCTAGGGTCGAAATGTTCCGTTTTTGCTGAGGGAGGAAAAACCGGAAAACTCGGAGAAAAAACCATCGAATCAAGGGAGAGAACGGAAACAAACTCAAACCACATATGATCCCAAGTCAGAATCGAGCCTGGGACCACAGCGGTGACAGGCCGGCGGTCACACCGCTCGGCTACCCTTGCTCCCCGGCTGGCAGGCGGTCCAGTTTTTCACGATCTGGGGTTGGTTGTAAGACTGAATGTGAACAAGGCTATCCACCAGATATATCTTTATCAAACAGATAAAATCAATTCAAAATCTCTCGAGTAGATAACTTAAATCGCTGCATAACTTCATACAACCTTCGTACAAACGGTCCCTGGCGATGCACTGTTTATGTTCCGCGCCAGGGAACAGTAGATGTTATCGGATTACTCATAAGAGAACCAGGAAACTCCTTATTAACTTGTTCTGCCGAGATTGGGAACTCAATTCTACTTACTTCAACTTTATTCAATAAACTTGAAGTAGTCTTAGACGAAATTGTAGAAAATGTAAAGATTTATTAGTTATTAATATTATTGTAAACGAATTATGAGAAATAAAGATTCTTATTTGTTTTAGTTTATTCAATAAATAAAAAGGGATGAAGAGAGATGGTGAAAGATTCAAAACGCACAGTACAATTTATACTTTCGGTAAACTGAAAATGGCCGCCTCCAGGCCCTCGCGGCCCCAAAGCATAATGGTGCACACTTCGTTTTCAGGGTAGAGACACTATATATATAGGACTTTTAGATAGCTATTACCCTTATACAGGTATTTGAGAATAATCTATACAGCTCTTGTACATTAACGACAATTTCCAGGATTGTTAAGGTTATTTATGATTTGGGCCAACCGAAGTCACTGGCTGTTTTTTTTTTTTCACTGATCATTCTCAGTGAGAAGTATGAAAGCAACATATTTTGTTTACTAGACTAGAGCAGAGTCACATGAACCATGAAATAAAAACTAAAAAGTACTAACTAATAGGCACTATTAGTTCTTAATAGTCGTTAGCACTGAACCTGAACAGTTTATTTGATCCAATAAGCAACACCAAAGAGACCACTATGACAATAAAAGTAATCTCTTACTGTTCTGGTTCAGTGATAGTGTCTAAGAAATAGTGCCTATTAGTAACTAAGTATTTAGTTGCTATTTCATGGTTCAAGTGACTCTGCTCTATGTGACTTTATTTATCTCTAAGCAACGTGTTTACTGCTGTTTTGCTTAGTAACTGGGGAAAAATCATTTTATTGGCTTAGGATGTGACTACGTATGACTGTACGTCATAAGGCTGTTTGCTTACGGCTGTTGCTTAGGAAGGTAAGAAAACAACTTCGCTTTTGATAGGACAGTGAACCAGAGTTGCATCTTATTCGATATCATTTAAGTACTAGCAACTTACCCTGGTTCCCGATTAACCCGAGAAAATCCTTCTAACTCTATAGATATATAGTGGAGCTACATCGCTGATTTCAGAAGTTTTTCTGTTCATGATGGGATGTGGTAGTTCCAATTTCCTTCTTTGCCCATGTCCAGAAATAATAGACCTTATCAAAGACAATGCGTTAGAGGATGTAGACGATGCAACCGATCTTGAGATTACAAAACCAGCTGATGTAGTAGACGAAAAAGCTGCTAAGAAGGTGAAGAAACCTTGAAGAAGCAGACAGGTAAGATTAAGTTTAGCAACCTGTGTTCTGGCTTTATTCATGTATGGATGACATAACTAGAAATGTCTCCGTGGTGAGCCGGGGGGGGGATTGCTCAATTTTATTTTAACTATTTTTTTCATTCGAAAGGATATATAACTCAAAACGGTGATTAGTTTTTTTAACACTTATTTGGTCGTAGATCTTTAGCACGTCCAAGCTGTGAATCAGGAGTTTTGTTTAATTGGATTTTCCGAAAGTTACAGGAATGAGTATGAAAATAGACACACTTAGGGGCTGACCATTTGATTTTTGAGGGAAAGAGTGGATCATTTTAGAATTAAATTTCTTGTACCCCCGCCCGAAGTGCCCCAAAACAAGGCAATTCCACCAAAATCTATGCAATTTCTTCGCAATAAATTTCGAGCACTTTCTGAGGGCCTAAAAACATTCCTGCACCGACCAACTCATTCACATCAGTAAGTTATTGCACTTACTTTTTAAAGGTGTTAAATTTATCTTTTTACAAAACTGTTTCTTTAGAAACGCCGACGAAGCTCACACTAGTTTACCGCTAGTTCCCACTATTTTGTCAAAGAATACGTTTTTTCATTTTCTTTTCAAACTGTATCGATTTATTACTGGGAACTATAGACCCCTTTTGAATGCCAATAATTTTCACTATTTCAACTGACTTCAATGAATTGACCATATGCTTTACGGCCCATGTCTCTGCAAGCCAAATATCAGCTGATAACACTGATAGTGATAATGAAACATTATGATTATTTTCTAAGATTTTTTATGAGCTTCTCTTTGAATCCATAAATGAAGATCACACCAAGTAACTTTCATCTCCAGATCAAACTAAAGACACGCTTCAAATAATTACAAAGTATAATGAGACCGCTTGGTAATCAAGCTAAGATTTGTTCTTTCACTTATTGACGAGAGCCATGTTGGTGCGAGAAGCATTATGGTCTTTCCTCTAATGACGTCATGTGTGTTTTGGCGCGAACGGCATCTCGGTATTGATCAAATTATCAAAATGGCGGATTTCGTATAGAAAGTACGCCAGGAGGACGACGTTTCCTTGCAAATACTGGAAAATAGCGCAATATAGTGTAGATTAGACAATAGAAAACATAAGAAATAAAACAATTCAGTACAACATAAATATCTAGTCTTATTTTTTTAACAACACACGTTTCGATCTGGTCTCAGATTTTCTTCAGTGCAAATTAATCCGTTAAAAATTGTTTGCGCGTGTGCTGTGAAAATTGGCGTGCGCGAAGATCAGTACAAATTTAGCAATATTTAGTTAATTGCTAAAGTTTTTAAATCCAAAAAGGCTGTCAAAGATTCATAATATTCTGAGATCCTGGTCCCAGGGTTTAAAATCAGATTTAGTTTTCAACATCCAATATAGTTCCAAAATCAATATTAGGGTCAAAATAATACAACCACAATCCCTTTCGGTCGTGCCATCCGCAACGTTTGACGGAATTCCAACATATCGCTCTGACAACCTTTTTCAGTCGAAATAAAATCTACTAGAACAGTAGATATATATTAAACATATAGGATATGTCACGTTAACATCCATGAGTATATGAAGTATATTATGAATGAATATTATTTTTAAAATAAAAGACTGCGTTTGTATGCAATAATCATTGCCGGGAATCATCGTTGCTCTGACCAGTACACATGGCTTTTACTCGTTGTATTCAGTCATGGTTTTTTACTTTTTTATTATTAATACCATCCATCATTATACTGATCTTAGCTATAGATTAAATACAAATCATAGAATTCATAACCGATTAAAAACTGATTTAATGTCGAGGCCACCTGCTATAAACTCTGTGGTTTTTCAGTGGTGAAAAACCTTCATTCGAGATTGTGAAACATGCCACAGAAACACATCCGTGCTCGGCACAGTGTAATCTATTGACAATTGTTGGTACTTTCTGTAAAAGAACAGATATTTGGTATCTTTTGAGATATATATATATTATATTTCAGTTATAGTGATAGTATGTAACCATGGCCAATTAGTGAGTTAGCTTGGCTGTTTTCCATGTAATGAGTTCTTTAAAGTAATTAGTAAGAAATCAAATCACTTTCAATGAAGTGTGCGGAGTGTGTTGGATCTCAACAGCTACATTACTGTCATACCGATCAAGTCTTCGAATTCCTTTTTTGTTGCGAACAAATAGAAACAAAAAGAATGCTTGATCTCTTCTTTTTGATAAAAGGAATTATATATTGCAAGACGACATTATACCAACATTTTTTTCAGAAAGTAGTCAAAGCAATTTCAAAATGAATATGGACCATATCCCGCAATGTTTGATATATTTTATGTATAAATCGGAATGAGTCAAAATGTATCATAATTTCTGCATGCAGAATAGTCATACATGTGAGGAGTTTTGACAAAAAATTGAAAACTCTGCTGCGGCAAAGATCACTGAGACGCATGGAAAAAAGAGAGATTTTGAGAAGATGTAGTCCCCAAAGTTACGAAATTTTACAAAGAAATGATTTGAAATCGGTAAATTGGTTGACTGGCTCTGTATTTTTTCCAATTTTTACTGGATAGGAAGCTCTTTTCAGTGGCACTGAAACACAATATGTGCGATACGTAGAGCTACAGATAACTAAAATTGTACAAAATGTATGTAAAAAACTTGTTTTGTCCATCCAGCCATTTATTCATCCGTCCATCCATCCAATTTACCCCTCCCTCCCTTCCTACCCTTCCTTCCTCCATGCATTTCAAGTCCATTTATCTTGATGTTTCTTAATTTAAAGCTCTTGCTTGACAATTTTTGAAAAGAAATACCATCTATATTTCCAAGTGGAATTACATCTCGTTAAGGACGACTATCTCATTACGTTTTCTCCTTCGTTTACCCTGACGAAGGAGTTTTCTCTTTTTGTAAAGATTCACCATATTTCTGATTCTATCGCAATGAATTGTACTGATCTAACTAAACATCTCACATCGAAATAATTCAATGCTAATAAGACGACTGTGTATCTTGATAAATGTCAAAAAAAAATACATATGAAAAAGGAACTGACGTTGAGTTCCTTTGAGTGTATTCTTCTGCATCCTTCCCCCAGCCATCTGGTCCTTAATTTACGATCAACTAAACCACTATCACTTTAAGAAAAGAGATTTATGGATAGTAAGGTCTCAAAAACTAATACCATAATACCCTAAGAAGATGATATTTAACAAAAGTAATTTCACATAAAGGAAAATTCATATCTAATAGTTATTTAAGCCAGGAGAAAAAGCCCAACGAATCGAAATTGACAAATGAGTGATCAGGGTAGATATCAAATTATGAGCTGAGCAAACAACCTCGTAGCAAATCAAATTGTCACTGAAAACTCGTAATTACACGAGTACTTGGATTGGCTAATTAGATTACGATACAGGCGCTTTCACTTGGCACAATGCCTTATAAATTACTGTAGATATATTGAGCGAAGTGATGGTATGAGTTTACTTATAATCAGGGTACTTGTGATTAAAAAACTAAGTTTAGCGGTAGATTGGTGAACATAAAAAGGATCATGTTTTTTTGGTCGTTTATCAGGGCTGCTGGTTTATCGAATTTGAGAGATAAATCAGAGGAGATATTCTTAAAATATCGGGGGATTTAAGAAATTAAAACTGGAAGAAATCCTCTCAATGCTGTTGAGAAAGATTCAATTATTTCTAGAATAAATAAGGAAAGGATTGTACTCAGAAGAGTTATATAAGAACAATTGCATGGGAAGCAATGAAGAGAGCGCTGAAACTATAAAAACCTGGCCATTATATTAAGAATATAATACATATTAAACGTATAATATATAAAAAGAAATCAAATTAGAATCTAAAACAAAAATTACAAAGGACAATGACTGAATTACGAACGAAATGAAACTAATCCCGAACTAGAAATATTGACTCAAATATATTTATAGTAGAAATCAAAATGGGTTTTGAGAGAAATTATAATTATTAAGAAATGTAAAGTTTGATATGATATGGAGAAAATATCAAAGACTTTCATGTGAGCGAGTCAATTCCAAAAGAACTGAAAAAATCTTGAAAATTTTGGTATTGAGTGCGGAATCGTTTAGAAATAAGTTTATACTTGCGAGCATATCATATTGTATATTTTCAAGTCCAGCGAAAGAATTTCTATCAAAACAGCCCTTAATAGCTTTGCAAAGACAAATCCATAAAAATATCAGATTTAGAGATAAAATCAACAAAGACAGATATAAAATCACTTAAGAGAATCCTCCTTTATCGATATCTTGATATTTAATTATCGATAAAACTCTGTAGGGCAATTGAGACTAAAGCCATAATCTATTGCATTGTGGTTTCAATGCTTAATCAAATTAAGTCACCATTAGTCAGCCAATTTGCCCTAATCAACTGAGCTCGATAAAAAAGCACTGACACTAGACAACTATCAGTACATACTCCAGTGAGTAATCTACCAGATCGAATTAAGTCAATATACCACACACGCATGGAGCTCAAGTATTAGTTCCATCCAAAGGGCTTTTATAGACCAAAGGGGGTATATTTGTTTTGCAATATAGAGGTTTTTACCACAGGGAGTGTGGCTCAAATTAATGTCCACATACCATGGGGGTACAGTTTGTATTTAAACTACACAATACGAATCGTGGGGTAATTGTGATGTTCCTCTTTGTACGGCTTGTATGGAATGGAAGAGTTAAGAGTCATTAAGAGACGATATCTCGTAAGCAGTCAAATCTACTTAGGGGTGAATCCCTTTAGCTTGAATCTGATAGGCAATATGTGTCGAGTTTATGTGGTTAGATCGAGATGTTTAGTCGATTCTACTGCGGTTAAAGATATTAGAGCAATTTACCAGAATAAAATGACAGAATAGATTGGAAATTTCGAAAATTAGTCGCAAGCTGAATCATTAGAGGGGTCTAATTGCTTGAAAATCTGCACGCATTTTACTCCGCGCTGCTTTCTAATTTCGTCCTTTTTTTGTCTTGAACCATGCAAAGGATTGATTTGATTAGTGCTACAAAGTTACAATTAAAGAATGTTCCATAATAATATATCATGCACTTCAAACCTGATAACAATCTAAGGTTTTTTAACACAAAACTTAAAATTCTAAGTGGAAAACAATTTATTGAATCAAGAAAGACACTTATGGTTGTTTGTTGCGGACAGGAAGACACGACGCTCGGTAATTGACACTATGAAATGTCTTCTGTTCTCTTGTTGCCGCTCAAGTTCGTCGTCCATCGCCTTCGCTTTATTTTTTTTTGTATAATTGTTAGGAAAAGAAAAGGAAATTTGGTTCGGCAGAGAAAATTGCTCCTTTAGTGTTATTAAGAAACGCTAATAGCGGTCCGACCAGGTGTCTTTAGGCTGGAACAAAATTGACAATGAAAGGTCGTGAGACCGTCCATATTGAATAGGTCCTCTTGTCCGGTTCTGGCCGGCCTCAAAAGTATTAATTAAGTAGCAAAATACAATAGGACGATACACAAACAATGGCCACGTTCAACGTTTAGACACACACATGGCTGAAGCTTGTAACTGAACAACGGCGATGTATTTAAGATTGGCAATATAACAAAACAAAAGGCGACTTTAATGTATCATACAAAATTGGCAACAGGAGATACAACCCCGCTTAGTTTAGAGACACGATTTCCTTTGATTACCGAGTTCATTTTTGCTTATTACCCTGACGCATATTTGAATGGACAATCTATTTCTTACGAATGATCAGCGGATAATAAGGCTAATTTTACTCATTAGTAGTGTCGAGCTGTCGCCCAACCGCTTGGCCTGATATTTGATTTAGAACGCATATAGTGAAGGGTTTGTTTATTTATTGTCGAATCATAATAAGACAAGGCTCTTGATTATGCTGTGGATTTGCTACACTAATCATAATCAATCTACTGCGGCCCAATCGAGAACAAAAGACAGGCCATACTTCCTGTACGGGCTCATCGTGTAGCAACGATGTCATTAGCAAATTAACAAGAGTCTCTAATTTGTTGGACAGCCTATAAAAGATTGTACAAAAGGCTTAAACGATAATTCAACTGCGAATCCTCAAATAGACACAACACTAAGGAATTAGTAATACGGGAAAGACTTTCTAAAAGAGGAACACGCCATTCCCGAGACAAAATGCAGAGTTATAGTGGACAAGGTTACCTTTGCCCATACTACACTTGTACATCTCCATACTGTATCGCCATTAGACCTAGCGCTGCCCTTACTTCAACGTTGACTACAAACCGAACTTCGTCAAGCGCTTCTTCTACAAGCACAGGCTCATCTTTCTCAATCTCGTCGATTCTTTCCCGCGGCACGGAGGATAACTCGTCCAAGCCGGACTCAAAAAGTGAGATACCGGCTTCACCCACCAAAACTGAGGGCTCAGTATCGCTTGGGTCTTACGGACCGTCGCACTTCACCGCCCTTGAGAGATTTCATCCTTATCACCGAACGATTGGTGTAAGCGCTTTTACACGAGCAGGAAGCTGTGGTGGCTTACAAAAGGGTGAGATAATGTCTCTTGTGACTTTGTAAAATTCATGCCAAAAATGAAGTGAAAAAGCATCTTCTTTTAAAGTTTAAACCTTGATTTTTAAATTATAACCTGAGCTATCTTTCTTAGACGAAAATTCTGTTGTTGAAAAAGACTAATACTATCTAAAAATCAATCTGACTTATTGTTTTTCACGTTTTTGATGTTTAGATTTCGCTCATTCGCTCTATTAAAAGCTGTTTTTCACCTTAGATTTTCATGTCAAACTCAATAGCCGAAGAAGCCCGTTTACTCCCTTTTATTTTGAGTTTCAAAACGACAAGAGCCTGTTTCGGGTTCTTTGTTAGCTTGTTGGTCTTTTTTCGGTACTTTGTAGTTCTTTTGGGATCTTAAAGTGACGACATCCGACTCCCCTTCGACGGAGTGTCACGAAAACGCTTCGTCTCAATGGGAAAAAAACATTTTTTTCATGAACTGATCTTGTGCAAATTCAGCCACAAACAACGAACAATTCTAGTGTATCAAAACTAACATTAATTAAGAGAGTCCTTTTCCAAATGTGATCAAACAATGTTCAAATATTTACATAAGTAATAATATGTATCCATATTATATTTCTCGATAGATAGACACAGTCAAGATTGTGCTCTTTTATTAAGTTAATATCAGTGAAATGTATTTTCGTGGGCGCGCATTCTAGAAGCTTTGATCGTGATGAATTTCAGTCGCAACGCCCTCTTTGTTTGGGATCGAATCTGCACGATTCATTCATTGAAATCGATTTTTGATTTCTTTTGTACTAGAAGGAGATATTGTACTTAGTACGATACGAAGTCACGAAGAAAACAAGCCGTGGAACTTTAAACAAGGAAAGCCAAAACGAATTCGCACGATTTTCACCCCCGAGCAACTCGAACGATTGGAAAAAGAGTTCGAGCGACAACAGTACATGGTTGGAGCGGAGCGACATTACCTCGCAGCATCGCTTAATCTCACAGAAACACAAGTAAAAGTCTGGTTCCAGAATCGCAGAATAAAATGGCGAAAACAGAAGCTTGACAGACAAAATACGAGCAGCTAAACTTACTTCATAAGGACAGCTAAATAGAAGAATTTAATTTGTACATATTCAGTGATCAAAATCTATATACATTGTACTTGATAACAATCATGAAAATCAAGGCTTGGTACTGTGAATGACGTGATAGATAAACGTAAAAGACTGATTTAACAAATTGAGCACTCAGCAATCTAAACAAATCATATCGCTTACGATCTGAGGTACCCGCAATAATTTGCCTTAATTTGCTCAAAGTTGGCCCGAAATTATCCTAGAATTTTTGTCTCAAAGACAATCTAATGAGAAAGCAAACCCGCTTGGTGTGGGCACTGAAATACAAGACTACAATCAAGTAATGGAGAGACTATTTACCCAAAAAGGTTCTTTAGCAAACGATTTGCATGTAAAATTTACATGGCAAGAACTTCTATGTTTAGATTATCAACAAGAATGCCTCCTGCTGGGGCCAAATTAAACCAACTAATTGAATTGTTACTGTATCAATCATGCCTCAAAAGTCCTTTGAATGTCTAATGCATCCATAAAACAAAAACCAGTGAAATAAAGCTCAATATAGAAGCAAAAAGCCCCGATCTTTCCCTTCGTGTCGTTTCTCTTTTAGTTTTTTTTTCTCGCGTTGCGTTTATTGAAGTTTTTTGTACGCGTAATTTTGTCATTAAAACTATTTCCATGCCCTTTATATAATTTAATTCCGGTTTTGATATCAATGTCATGGTACTTGCTGTGGGCGCCGGTAGGGTTTGAATTGTATTTCTGTCAACTGGAACCCAGAACCTGATAGTGGAACCTGAACCCAGCGACCACGGTGAAAAGACTGAAAACAGAGCGTAGGTTGTTTTGGAAACGAGACGGTATTATTGGGAATGTTCAACAATGGTTTTGACTATTGTTTAATTCTTTATGTATTGCTCTTAGCACTTCATTCACAGATTAATACAAAGACCTTTTAACGGACTTCTGACTCAAAAAGACAACTTTGTTTTTGATTACGAGGGGAAAAAAACGATATATGCTAATTTTGTCATGTAGCGAAAGGGTATACTATTGCAAAAAGCTAATATCTCAAATAGAGATATGAGTTTAAAATAAATTAGACGCCCGAAATTAGTGCTAATTTCCCCCCCAAGCTCTCGGCTTTGAAGTAAATTGCCAGCCATTAAGAGCGCGTTTTTACGGTTCATGTTTCTCCAAGTAGGTCTCATTCCATATAGTATCCCACACAAGAGCAATATTGACCAGGTGTACAGCGAGTGTTGCGTTCATTGTAGACCGAGAGACAGAGTGGCGTACAGGGCTTAACAAGATCAAATAACTCAGAATAATTTGACAGTTTCTTCCGTAAATCGCGGATAATCCTCGGTGAACTGCTCGCTCTAATGCGGTTAATGCATTATCATTGGTTTGTATGTTCTATTGAGAGGGTGAATTAGTGACGGAGACGAACCCACAGGATACATCGACCAAGTAACAGCTGTTCTGGGCTAATATTGAAGCGTGTATCACACTAACGAGTTCGATTAAGGCGCCTTTAACACTCTATTATCATTATATAGATACTCGAATGGACAAATCAAAATATACCTAATGAATCTGTTGCTTGAATTAATGAAAAAGGTTTGAAAATTAGCAAATCTTAAAGGAGGACGGCTAGTAATTCTAAGGAGGCATCCATTGTTCAAAGTGCTAACGATTCCGGTAGTGACGATCTGGGATTAAATCAGGTGGAAAATTGTGTTTCACCCAACCGATTTTGTACTCCATAGTATTGCACGAGGATTTTCACTTAACAATTAATAACCTTTGAAAGAGAAATTTTAATACTTGAAATTATGACGAGCTATAGGGCATTTAAAAAGTGTTATCAAAAACTCACAAAATAGTGAAATTAGTAAGACATTATTACACATTCAAATTGATAACATTTCAATTTGAAATCTTTGCTTACGACGAATTTCCTTAGAAAAAAAGGAAGTAAAAATCAGTGTTCCGAGATCAATTCAAGATTTATTAATAAAAACATTGGATCTTTCAGTGAGAAAAAGGAAAAAAAGACTCTGAAAGAGACATTAAATTTTTATATGTTTTTAGAAAGGAAAAAAAAAACAAGATCAAGAAAGCTCATATTTTTGTCAAAATACTTCATTGCATAAAAAAATGTGTATGTTCGTCTTATTATCATTCTTTGCCAGAAAAGGCACAGTTGATATTTAGCGGCCATTATTTTGCATCCACGAAAAAATTGGAGACAGGTATCTCTTGAAATGATAAGTCGAGACTAAACAAACCTGGTATTTCAAGAGACTAGATTACAGGGTTTTCCGCTCCTGAATCTAACGACGGTGCTTGTTTTGCCTTTGTTTGTTTGTTTGTTTGTTGTTTGTTTGTTTGTTTTTTGTTTGTAATGATGAAAAACAGTGGAAAATGATAATAATGAACTGTGTTCGTTGTCAGATGATGACGATGATAACGATATTTATCATATGATTATCTATGAAATACCGCTAAATTTCTCCATTTCGTAAAGTTGATATTTTCACTAGTGAAAATGAAATGTCATTTTCACTAATAAAAATAACACATTCGAGGTTTCTCTATATAGTGGAAGTAAGAAAAAAGGTATTTTATGACATAATTTGCTTTCATATGTAATTGTATGATAAACAAAATATTACATGGTCGCTTGGAGATACAAAATTTATCTTCTCGTGTTGAAAATCCCTCGTGAGAGATCTTTTCAACACTTGAAAATAAAATCCATATCTCCGCGCGCCCATGTAATATCCTCTACAACTATGATAATGATGTTATTAAGATAATTTGATTGGAAGAATTCACTCCATAGCATATCAAACAGGGTGCGTCGTGAGTAATTTATTGTGATTTTTGTCTTTTTCTCGCTAAATAAGATTGGAAATTAATCAAACTCATTAAAACTGAGCTTATTAAGTGCTATTCAAACTTATTCTACAAATAACAAATTCATTGAGGTTTAATTTCGAAGTCCAAATAGGTGTATTTTAGGGGACGCAGATTTTTTTTAACTGACGGTATAGAAGAAGAAAAAGTAACTGTATTAAATGATAGCAAGTCCATTCATTCTCTAGTGATAGTAAATAATGACAATAAAACCATCAAAGCATCTATATATATTATTTATATATATTTGACGAGTCAATTTCATTTGCAACTACATGACTATCTTTTCAAAAAGAAAAAAAAAAATTCATTCCGAGATTTGCAGACTTCCCTGTGTAAGTCAGCGATAATTGAAAAAGTTCGTTTTCAAATCGATATTGCTTAAATTATTAGCCTACGCTTGTTTTAAATAGTTTTTGAGCGCGCGGCGGGAATAGCTTCCTGAATTATCACGATATGTAATTAGTTCTCTGTCAGCGAACTTCCTCGTTAAACAACAGACGAATATCTCTACCTTCCTGCTTAATTTCACAATCGGAAGAAATCGAGTTTAATAAAAAACAGACAGTTTAAATCAAAAGCAAGTCGGCCTGAGCCTAGAGGTTTTGATAATTTGAAAAAGGAAGAAATGAAACCGATATCCGATTGATTTTGAAAAATAAAAGCATGGTTGGCAACGTCGTTCCCAGTTCCTTTTCCCTTCTTAATGGAAGGAAGAAGAGGCGTGGGAACGAGGTTGAAGCAACAAAGAAAAGACAAAGATTGAAGTCAAGCGTATGGCATTAGATCGACATAAGCATAATCGCTAGCAGAACAAGGATCAACTTGTTCTGTTCAATACTGCGCAAACAGAAGTTCAAGCGAACAAAGGGAAATACAAAGCCAATTGTGACAAGCGTGTGTTATTGACACAAACACATGCGCAAGCGTAAAGCTAAGCATAAGTAAAGATACAAAGTATAACCAATCTCGTAAACACGAGGAAAAAGCCAATGTACGAAGGCTCGGATCTTATAAACTTCAAATTATTCTTTGATGTTTTCGCTTGTTTGCCTAGAAGTGAAAATAATACCTAAATCAAAGCGCTACGAAAACGAACCAATCACTCTCCTCTTTATAAAGGGTAAGATATCCCAAAAAATCGATAGCCGAAAAAAGTACATACGAAATCCTCTATTTTTAGAAATATTACCGAGTACTTTCCGAAGATGAAACGAAGTCTTTCGCAAGGCATCATGGTTCTCCGACATGTTTGTTATGGTTTATTTTTTCCTGAATCATGTTATTGTGTGAGAGATAGTGTCAACATGTGACGAAAAAACGTCCTAAATTCGCTGAGATATATGTAAGTATACCTTGTTATTAGAGACAACATATTAATATAGCGTTATGATATGATAATTTGACGATTTTGCTTCCTTGCTGATGATGCGAGTACTTTTTTTGAATGTTTTTTTACGACATCGCTGAGCTAAAATACTAACTGTGTATTTGTCAAAACGGTAAAATCTCGATCTAGCTATTAGAAAAGATCTGAAAACTTCTTTTTCCTCACTTAGCAGTTTTATTTCTTGCTAGGTTAGTGTAGTGCAGTCATTCTTGTGTCCAGTTTCGAAAGCTGCACTTATCGCTATTTCTTGGGTATAGGCTCAAGTTAACTTAACTTAAAGCTTCTTAACTAAGTTTTATCTGTTTTACAACAATATGAGGTATATTTATATTGTAACGATACAAATAAATATTGAGTTTTTAAAAAAATTAGACGATTGCGTCGTTGATTTCCTTGTGGAATTTGCCTTCTTTCTCGTGCAAGCTGATAGGCTAGATATAATACAACTCATATTTAACAGTAGACCACGAGATAGAGTGAACTACGGCCTTATGGACTCTCAACTCGTGTCACTAGTATTCCACGAGACCGAGTTTTCTTATTTCGTTAGTACTGAGCGCACTATAGGACAAATTTGGTAAAAAAGAACACATTAAAATAACTTTTTTTTTTTTACTTTTTCACTCCAACATAAATAGACCAGAGCATAAAATGACAGTACATTTTTTATTGCTGAAAATCCACCATGACATGATTTTATATAGAGGATATAACATGGGCACGTAGAGATACGGGTTTTATCTTCGATTGTTGAAAAGATCTCTCGCGAGTGAGGTAATTATATAAGTAAATTATGTCATACATTATAAAATTAGCTTTTTTCTTACTTCCACTATATAAAGATTTTGAATGTGCTATTTTCACTAGTAAAAAGAACCCAACTCTACCATAATGGAGAAATAGAGGTATTTTATAGATAATTATATAATAAGATAAAATACCCGGGGGGTACTCCCCTATATTCGCTATACGAGGACGTGCCGCCAACCAGGGTATCGTTTTCAGCGATTCTACTCTGGAACAGGGTATCGTTTTTAGCGGTTTTACTCTGAAACAGGGTATCGTTTTCAGCGATTTCACTCTGGAACGGGTCAGGGTTATGAGGTCCCAGCGGCACACCCCCCCCCCCCCCCCCCCC